TAAAAACGACTTTACAGGCAACCATTTTTTTGTTGACGTCATATGTACACACGGCTACACATACTTTACATAACCAGTATAAACTGAACGTTAAATGTGCGGAAAGATGATGCGACGCGACACCAGGATAAACTGGTTTTGTATAGGTTGATGTGTGGCCGTGTGTACCTTCCTAATGTAATTGAAATAAATAATATTGACTTTGACTTTGACTTTGGTATGCGTGTTGGCGATTGCAGTTTAAAAGGTTCCGATTTATTAGAGTATTTTTGCTTGGTGTCAGTCTAATGTGAGGTCTTTTCGTCGGATCTTGCAAAATACGCGACAAAAGATAGGATGGTAAAAAATGTGTACTATTACTACATGTCACACTACTCATATAATATGTTGAAGTTTCAAATAAAATCTCAGTTCTTGGAGTTTTCTTTCAGATATCGAAGTAAGTAATATTCTCATTAATAATACTAATATCAGTAGCAGTGTCACATTATAAATGCGTATCACAAAGCATTCGTATTTGTTACGAGTAATAACGTATAACGGAAAAGCGTCACGTCTCTCAAATTTGTCTTCTGGCAACTTTTTAGCCGGTGTTGCCACCAGTAAAAAAGTGATGGCAATAAAACAAGCATTTGTAAGAGTTCACGAGTTGTGAGAGTGAAGTTTTTGAATTCTGTGATCCACATCAAAGTCCTCTACTATTGGTATAGAATGAGTTTGTGATTTGTCGTTTAAGGAGATTACAATAAATTTTTATTTTTAAAATCTAAAATCTAAATCGAATTCTGCACGGTTGGTGCGGTGGCTGGGCAACCGGCTGCCGTGCAACGTGTCGCGGGTTCGATTCCCGCACGGAACAACACTTTGTGTGATCCACAAATTGTTGTTTCGGGTCTGGGTGTCATGTGTATGTGAACTTGTATGTTTGTAAACGCACCCACGACACAAGAGATAATATTAGTGTGGAGCAACGATTAAAAAAAAAAATTCGGATTAGGAAAACCTAATTCGAATTAACAACAATTTCTCAAAATTCGAACAATCTATCTACATATAGAAATGAACTATGTACATACTAGATTGAATGACCAAATCCGATTGTCCAACTCGATGCGTAGCAGTTTACTTACTACGAAATTCGTAGCGAACGTAGATGGCTACGTGCTGCTACGCCGTAGTAGTAGTTCGAAAATCCGATGAAGATGAAGGCATTTTGGTCTGTAAGGCATGGTTTTATTAACGAGGGTTAGACGTGGGATTCTTTTAATGTTTTAGAAAGGTTATATTGGGATGAGGTCAATCGAGGTCAGAAGGTTACCGGAGTAGTGCCCTATTGACCGAATTTTTATTTGCACGTCTTAATCGAACCGATTTTTAACCGCAATTTTTATTCATTTTTACAGGTATGTACATACTTCTAGATCCGCTATACGACTAGTATCTTTCAACCGAAATAAAGTAACCTGGTGATTAGATACTGTTAAATTCCCTCTCAAATCCCTCAGTAGATTGTGAAGTAAATGCCAAGCAAAACACGAAAATTCAGCTGAATCTAGTGACGACTCAGTCTAAATCTAAATCTGGTTCAGAAAAGGTTTGAAAAAGAAGGTGTTAAAAAATCGGATTAACCAAGATAAGAACGTTTTTAAACATTATTTTTACTCAAATTCTCAAATTACCATCTGATTGATCTTCCTATAGTAGGGGTGGCACAAGTTAGTTACAACTTATAAGTCAGTGAGTGAGTTTTGAGGAGTTCCCTGACAGTTTGGAGCCCTCTGTGTTGTTGTATTCTTGGGTATGACGCTAGTGATTGAGCGGCCAACAGAACTAAGGCTTAAAGGACACAATATTGTACTGTACAGCTTTGTAGGATTGTACAGAACAGGAGTACGGTATTTTGTGTCGATGGAGTTTCAACATATAGTTTATTTTCCTAGGATTATAGATATTTTTCAACTATGTATGTGTTTTGTATAGGTGTCTGATGATAATGATTGGTGGAAGGTGCATTTAAAACATGTTTCATTGCGGTAGCTGTAGCCAAATGCCATTTAGCGTTTGCCTACATGTAGAATAGAAAACCAAATTATATGGGATTGACGTAAACTGTGACACTTGTTAGTTTCATCCCCATACATTTAGTTTTCTACTCTCTCTGAAACAAGCGCTAAAGTGGCGTTTGGTTAAAGGCACTGATTTACAGTCTTAGTTACAGATTTTTTTTTTATATTTTATAGGTTGACGTTTGGCCACCATCTCGCCTGGTGGTAAGCCATGGTGTGGCCGATGCTGGAGTACGCCTACCAGCTACGTATAATACAAATCAACTTCAATATTGTAATAGTTGTCTCACTTAAATATCGAGTAAAACCTAGGCTTAGTTGCGTCTAAAGCCACATTTAACCGACGAGACGACTATAATTATTTATGTAACTAAAATTGTAATTCTATCAGACAATAAAATATAAAAGAAATTCAAATTGTAACACGAGATAATAAGGGGTAATATAAATTATGTCTTATAGCTCCCATAATAAGGGTTATTTGAGACCTTCTTGCGCGTATTCTTACGAGATACAGGACGGCGGTGACACTGTAACTTGTTGGCAGATATTGAAAGTAGATTTTATTTCTATTGTTTATTGTGTAATTTTGTCGGTAGTTAGAAGCATGCAGATACATTGTCTAAGGTTCAGTAATCACGTTGCGTCATTTGACGAATGCGTGCATCCTTCACAAACAATAGACGCCCTACAAATGACAAAGTGCTTGCATCTTGCTTATGGTCCAAGATCCCAGTGCCCCCAGACGTCACTCATTTTCTGATGGACAAAATATATACGAGTGAGTAGTGGTGGGGTGTACTATGATCATAAGGTAGCAACTAGTCATATGATCATAGTACACCCCGTTCTATGATCATATGACTAGTTGCTACCTTCGCCAGACGGCCAATTTTCAGGTAGCAATTAATCAAGGTATAATTAAGGTATTAGAAACAATGAAAACTGGCCATGAAGCAGGAGTTCAATCCGCTTATCGTTTTTTATCGAATGCATGCATT